GGAGTACACTACCCCACATAAGTAGCAATGGATAACGAGAATACACTACCCCAAATAAGTAGCACTTGGTATGGGAATACACTATCCCACATAAGAAGCACTCAGTATGGGAGAACACTACCCCACATAAGTAGCACTATGTATGGGAGTACACTACCCCACATAAGTAGCACTCAGTATGGAAGTACACTACCCCACATAAGTAGCACTCAGTATGGGAGTACACTACTCCACATAAGTAGCACTCAGTATGGGAAAACACTACCCCACATAAGTAGCACCCAGTATGGGAATACACAACCCCACATAAGTAGCACTGAATATTGAGAATACACTACCCCACATAAGTAGCACTCAGTATGGGAATACACAACCCCACATAAGTAACACTGGATATTGAGAATACACTACCCCACATAAGTAGCACTCAGTATGGGAATACACTACCCCACATAAGTAGTACTGGACATTGAGAATACACTACCCCACATAAGTAGCACTCAGTATGGGAATACACTCCCCTACATAAGTAGCACTCAGTATGGGAGTACACTACCCAACATAAGTAGTACCCAGTATGGGAATACACTACCCCGCATAAGTAGCACTTGGTATGGGAATACACTATCCCACATAAGTAGCACTTGGTATGGGAGTACACTGCCCCACATAAGTAGCACTCAGTATGGGAGTACACTACCCAACATAAGTAGCACTTGGTATGGGAGTACACTACCCCACATAAGTAGTACTGGATATTGAGAATACACTACCCCACATAAGTAGCACTCAGTATGGGAATACACTCCCCTACATAAGTAGCACTCAGTATGGGAGTACACTACCCAACATAAGTAGTATTCAGTATGGGAATACACTACCCCAAATAAGTAGCACTGGGTATGGGAATACACTATCCCACATAAGTAACACTTGGTATGGGAGTACACTGCCCCACATAAGTAGCACTCAGTATGGGAGTACACTACCCCACATAAGTAGCACTTGGTATGGGAGTACACTACCCCACATAAGTAGCACCTGGTTTGGGAGTACACTACCCAACATAAGTAGCACTCAGTATGGGAGTACACTACCCTACATAAGAAGCACTTGGTATGGGAGTACTCTACCCCACATAAGTAGCACTGAATATTGGGAATACACTACCCCACATAAGTAGCACTCAGTATGGGAATACACTACCCCACATAAGTAACACTGGATATTGAGAATACACTACCCCACATAAGAAGCACTATGTATGGGAATACACTACCCCACATAAGTAGTACTGGATATTGAGAATACACTACCCCACATAAGTAGCACTCAGTATGGGAATACACAACCCCACATAAGTAACACTGGATATTGAGAATACACTACCCCACATAAGTAGCACTGGGTATGGGAATACACTAGCCCACATGAGAAGCACAAGATACTGGGAATACACTACCCCACATAAGTAGCACTTGGTATGGAAGTACACTACCCCACATAAGAATGACTGGGTATGGGAGTACACTACCCCCACATAATTAGCACTGTGTATGGGAATACACTATCTCACATAAGAAGCGCTTTGTATGGGAATACACTACCCCACATAAGTACAAAATAATAATAATGTTTGAATAGAGTTAATAGTGCAATGAAAAGAGATGCGTTTTAAGATGTGATTTGAACGCAGCAAAAGATGGGGACAGTTTTAAGGCGAGGGGCAGTTCATTCCACAGCGATGGAGCACAAACACTGAAAGAACGCTTTCCATAAGAGGCCAGTCTATAAGAAGGAGTTTTCAAAAAGAATCTGCTTTCAGATCGCAGTTGTCTGGATGGTTTGTAGGGGGCTAGCAGTTCACTTAGATATTCTGGTGACATGCCTTTTAGACTCTTGAATGTGATACAGAGTACTTTAAACACTATCTTCTCCTCAACCGGAAGCCAGTGTAATGACTTCAGTATCGGCGTAATGTGAGAGTACTTTGCGGCACCTGTAACGATTCTCGCCGCTACATTTTGAACTTTTTGAAGTCTCCTCAGAGATCCTTTACTGATGCCTAGAAGCAAACTGTTCGCATAGTCGAAACTCGAGAGTACCAAACACTGTACTAATGTCTTGGCTGCATCAAGTGATATCAGATGACGAATTTGACTGATACATCTGAGATGATAAAAACGGCTTTGAACAAATTGTCAACTTGATAATCCATGGACAACTCGGAGTCAAAATAGACATCAAGGTTTTTTACCCGGGATGAGAAGTCTACAACAGAGTTGCCAATCACAAGTTTTAAGTTCTTATACGCCCCCAATTCGTCAAACACAGTACAGTTATCCCCATTCTAATTCAACTCGTTTTACGCTGTTTTTCGTGAAAAAAAAATTCACTATTTAAACCAGGTCAAAGTTCATCTAGGTCAAAGGTTAATCATATCACTCTTTGAACTTACACCATCGCCAGAAAAAATAGTTCCCTTTTCAAACTTCATCACGTTTATTATGTGCACACTGACTAAATCTGACAATGATGAATAAATCATAGTGTTGTACATAAAATGGGCGGAATTATGATGAAACCGCCCTCTAGTTATCAGAAATGAGGGCCATTATCAGTTCTGTTGTCACAGCAGGTGACGTCACGCTCCATAATGACGTCATAAATCTTGTTTCCTGGGGCGGTATTCTTAAAAGGACTTAAGTCTAAAAAATGACTTAAGTTCCAAATAAAAACTTATGTTTGACTTAAGACTTATGTTTTTTCTTAGTCATATTCACAAAAAGTATTAGACTTAAGTTTGTGTAATTTTCGACTTTCGACTTAAATCCTAAGCCTGCTGTTGGCTAGGCTTAACTCTATGTATGTAACGTAAGTCAGTTGACAAAAAATGGCCGCCAGACATGCCAATAGAAGAATTTACCGTCCAAGCAGTAACCGTTTTGAGGACTTAAGTGATGAAGAACTCATTAAACGGTATCGTTTAGACAGGGGCGGCATACAGTTTGTAATTGATTTGGTATCGAATGCCATTCAGCCTAATACAGCAAGAAATCATGCAGTTGATGCCACTGTGAAAACACTTTTGGCATTGCGCTTCCTGGCAACAGGAAAATTCCAGCTATGTAATGGTGATGGCCATGGAGTTAGTCAGCCTATACTGTGTCCCGTGCTGTACATGAGACTGTCAGTGAACTGTCATCACACCGGATTCTCACTAGATTTGTTTGCTTTCCGACACAACCCAACGAGATCCGCAGGAATCAAATTGCATTCTATCAGGTGGCCCATTTCCCCCGGAGGTATTGGTGTTATTGACTGCACTCATGTGCAGATACAGGCTCCACTACCACAGTATCAACACACAGGTAGGGGCCTATAACTTATCATTCTAATCACACGTCAATTCTTATGAGTTTGTCAAATTGCTTCAAATAAAACAGCTATCTTCATTACTTTATGTAAAGGTTTTTCAAGCTGTGGTTTTGGTAAATATTCACATCGTGTATCCTTACCTTAGAACATTTTATTTTTTCAACAGGGAGTGTTTGATGCTGACGACAAAATAACTGACATAATTGCACGGTGGCCAGGTTCAACGCATGACAGCCGGATATTAACACAAAGCGGACTGCACCGCTTGATGGAGGGGAATAACCTGCCAGCAGGCGCTCATCTACTCGGAGACAGCGGATCCCCTCAAAGAGATGGTTCCTAACACCCTACCTGAGACCACAACCCGGCCACCAGACAAATTACAACAGGTAACTTTACTGTAAACACCGAACAGTCGTGCCAAGTTTATCTAATTAGAGTTATCCCCCTTCTTAGGGGTAACGTACAAAGCTGAAATGGGGTGTGTCTAAAAGAAGATTGTGTCGGAAAATTCAGATGCTTATTTAGTTCTAATAATAACCAGACTGATAAGTCATTTTCACGTTAAACAGTTTTGAAAAAAGTCATATGACTTGAATAAATTAGAATTACTTATAGCGATTTGAAATTTTATATTATTTCTATTATTATTATCATTTGCCTCTGATTAATCCTGTTGATTATTAAGTTATCAACACATATCTCTTTCCAGATCACATAAGAGAACAAGAAGTTCAGTTGAAAGGGGATTTGGCCAGTTGAAAAGAAGGTTCGGTGTCCTTCATGGGGAGATGAGACTTTCACCAGAAAGAGCATGCAAAGTAATTACATATTTTTCTTTCATTGGCTTTTGTTCAATTTATCATTTTGAAATGATATATAAGTAATGACCATGGATCTTTTTGTGGCAATACGGCATTTTTCAATCAAGAACATGTTACGTAATATTTGAAAGGTACAGGTTTTTATGTGACAATTTGTTATGCAACAAATAGTTGTAAATGTAATTTGTAATAAAATTGATAACATCAATAATTGTGATTTTGAAATCTGAAAAATTTATGAGCAAGAAGTTCATATGATTTATAACTATATAAACTGGCTTTCCATTAAGGTCATCACTGAATGTGCTGTACTGCATAATATTTGCAAAACCAGAAATATTCCGCTTCCAAATCTCGATGGCAACCACAGGGTCAACCCTCCCCAACAAAATGGACAGCTAGTGCTGCCTGCACAGGGTATCATAGGAGTTCGAAACCAGGAACAGTTCGCAATTACAAACTTTCCTTGTGAGTTTGTCAAAAATGTCTTTTTAATTAGTTTCTTTCTTCTTGTTAATCAAACAGAAGCAAAAAGTTTCATTTTTGCAATATATCATGACCATGTGCAAAATAAGCTGTTTTCCAGGATATCGTCCCCCTTTTTCTCCAAGAGTAACCGAATTATTAAATTTTAAATATGCAATAGTGAATCCTTGTAAAGTAATTTGTAGACTTGAATATGCTGAAAAAATCCAAATTGAGCAAGAAATAAGTTCATTTGGAATGAAAACATACAATCTGTTCAGTTTCAAAGTTTAATCAAAGCCAGATATTATAACTGTGAATCACTCTTCCGTATTATTTAAGTTTCTGCTTGAGGTAACGCTTCTTTAACTTAAGACATTCCATCTCTAACTGCAGTCTTTCTCTCATCAGAGCATGAAGTGGCTGAGGCAGCTGAGGTTGTGGTAGGACCTGTTGATAGAGCTGAGGTGACTCAGGTGATGGACTTGGAATGTGAAATACCTGTGCTGGTTCACAAACTTTTTTCACAAAATCTGCAAAGGATAAAGAATATGAAACTGAAATACAGAATTTATGAAATAACAAAGTGGAATGTGTTTTTCCTCTCTTTTCAGTCCAACAAACCCCTAAATATAAGTCTTTTGATTGAAGTGAATTTTTTTTGACAAATTTGACATGGAACAATGAAATAGATTGTAATAATAGAAATTCTTTATGACACTGTCATAGATTAAACTATAAATAAAGATATTTTGGGATTATTTGTTTTGTCAAATTATTGGGGGCGGTGGGGTAGACTAATGGTTAAAGCGTTGGCTCGTCACGTCGAAGACCCGGGTTCGAATCTCAACATGTGTACAATGTGTGAAGCCCATTTCTGGTGTCCCTCGCCGTGATGTTGCTGGAATATTGCTAAAAGCGGCGTAAAACCAAACTCAGTCAGTCAGTCAGTCAAATTAATGATTTCCATGCTTTTGAAACTATCGAACTAAGCGATCTTGATTGGTAGATGTAGATGTACACGCTAAGCACCCAATCCCATCCCGAATCAATATTTAATTCACAATACTGAATAGCGATATTTGTTGCAATGTTAACTGTTACTTCATTACATTTAGGAGATAAACGTACTGTGTGAGGTTTCAAATGATTAATTTAGAGTCTATCAATTCTGCCTAACATTCATCTAATTTTCTAACAGATTACGTTTATCTCCATTCTACCATAACCGATTTAAAATCGAACTCCTTCCTTCCGCGGAAGACGCTGCGAAATCCGGCATGGTGCGAGCGGCGAATTGAACTCGTCTGTGAAGGGAGCGGAAGGTGCCGTTCGTATTTTTTTAAACATTGCAACATATATAATATTCTGTCCAAAGAAAACTAACTACTGTTTATTCAATGCAATAATGTAATACCTAAGAGCTTGGTTTATATAATCCCAACTCCACACGACCGAAACCAGCCTATTGTTTTGCGTGCCATGTTACTCTAACCCCCTGGCCACACTATATTTGAATCATCTGACCTACTGATTTTTCTTGGAAGTGCAGTCTGTAGTCGTTGACAGTTACGCAACAGTTTGAAATGGCGGACAGCCAGTGTTTACATTTTGAGTGGCAGTGGAAAATACTTGACGTGACTGTCGAATCTGATGAACCCTGCAGAATCGAAGAATAGATCCTTTTCTGATCGACCTACGATCTGTAACTATTCAAAGATTTGTATGACCAGCGAGTGTGGATCATGATTTCACTTACATAGGCTGTAGGTGCCTCCACCCCGGCATGCTACGAAAAGAGTGACAGTGCTGCTTTGTGTACATGCGACTAACTTGGGATTCCTTGGAACATTGTTTTCGTCATTTGGGACTTTTTTCAAAGTGTACGAACATAGATCACCAACAGTGACAGCCTTGTGGCAGAGAGCAGAATTCTGGTGGTTCATTTTTTTACATGTATTTTTGAACGATGTAACGGGACATGATGGAGTGTGAGTCGCATAAATTTTGTGTTTCGCTTGACCGTTATCTTGCGAATTTCCCATTCTTATGATTCTAAACGGAAACAAATATACCATTTACTAGGTAGGTAAATGTTTAGTAAGGATTTGCTGCACATTTTGTATAGATAGGGATGAAATTTACAAGGCTTTCTGATTTACATGTTAGATATTGTTTGTATATGTTGGGGGCTGTGTATTGTAATTGAGTTTAAATATTTTTATTATAGAAGGTTATATGATAGTGAGGTTCCCTAATAATTGTGGAGGAAAAATCATATAATAATTGTATTTTTCGAGTTTAAATAAATGTTTTATCAGCATTTCCATCACGTCTGTTGTGTTATTAGCCGTGTTAGTGGTCAAGCTGATGCGGCAGTGTTGTATACGTGCGCAGTGAAGCGGTCATGAAATCAGACGAATTTTCAATCCAAAATTGATAGTGTCTAATTTTTTTGATTGACCAATCAAAATCGAGCATTTCACGTAGCCATGGTAGAATATACATTTGTGTATACCTTTTGATATTCTTATTCCTAATTGATTGATTTAAGTTTGGCTTTTGTTAATCAGAATATATTATTTGTACATTTCTTTAATTTCCTATGTCACATACCCTTGTTGGGCTGGTTGCATATTCAAGATTTGCAGCATTGTGGAGGATTTTTAGGATTTCATTTTCTCTGCCAATGACGTCAATGACATTGTCAGTAAGAGGGCTGAGTGGTGTCGGTGGAGGACCGCCGCCTGAAAAACAATTTCCATTCATCAATTTCATAATACATAGATAGTGATTAATACTGATTATTACAGTCAAATAGGTTTTGTATAATCTATATGTTACACATGCTTAAGACATTTTAAAAAGAAATACAATTCTTAAATCACAAATGATATCAACTAAGAAGTTCTCAACATTGTTAAAAGTTATACAAATGTATTTTATTTCTGTGATACCGGTAATTTTTTTATATTGTGATGAAAAGTCATTAATAATTGTTTGATACATACCAGTAGTTGTTGTCGCCCTGTGGAAAGTTGAGAAACGCTTCTTTCCGCTGCTTTTCATATTCTTCCACTTCTTTTCGATTTCTTCTTTGGTCTTCTTGGATTTCTTCTTTACACAGAGCCCCCAGCATTTAGGCTGTCAGTTATACTCTGAAAAAGATTCATTCTGTTAAACTCATACTTTTTTTAGAACCGCTTGTTATAATTTTATTACATTCTATAACAAAGAATCATCAACACTATCAATTAATTTTATGCCAGGTTTTTAAAATCAATGAACAAAGACACAAATTGAAGGTAACAAATGATATTGTTTTAAGCAATTCAATTTAATCATTGCTCAATATATAGCATTCAATTAATAGATTAATGTTCTTTAAGAAATCTAATAGCAGCAGGTAATAAATGATTTGGTTGATATGTAAATGACCATGACCAATCATGGCCAAGAAATGACCAAGCATGGCCACATGGTCAGGGGTTTGTAATCATAATTGTCTTTCAATTGTCAACATAACATAAGTAGATAGACATGAAATAATTCTGATTTACATTATGTTGAGCTTTAGAAACTGTAGTTTGTCACTATTATTAAAATTTTAATCTTAATTAAATAATAAATTTTCTGATTTATGTTACGCCACACAACAAAAAATTCGTGTTTCTCATCACTTTTTCAAAAAAATATTGGTCTGGGAGGCAGATTTTATTTTTACTTTTTATTTATTTCATGACAAAAAAGCCTTGATTTGTGTGGCAATTTAACACCTTTTCTCCGATGGATAATTAAAACCTAGAATTGTCAAATTTCCATGCACATTTCGAGAACCAAAGTTATTTCTCTTGTGTAAGAAATAAAAAAAACATCTTAAGGTCAGGTCGAATTTTAGGGCTGGGCAGTTTAATGAGAAACAAGAAAATCTTTATAAGTAGCCTAAAATCATCTTCAATTATAAATAAATAACTGCACAGTACATAAGTTTAAAAAGAAAGGATATACTTTGTTAGACTTTAGAGACTTAACAACAACAAAGACCCTCTATCCTCAACTTTTAATCTTCATATAAAGAAGAATCTCATACATTTATTGGAATAACAATTTTTTTTTGTGTGTGTGTTAATGTTTAATGTTTAAAGATTGTTTGGGTTCTTTTTCATGGTCTGATGCCCATTTCAAGCGGATGTCTTGACGTTATAATAAGCTCAGTGAAAATGAAATATCGTAGTAAGGGATCGTTCATGATTTATGGCTGGGGGAGGGGGGGGGGTGATTTTTATGTGACGATGCTATGTGAATGACCCCCCTAATGTTTTTTAACAAACTAAGCGACCCCCTTGCATGTCATGAAAATCAATTACTAATGTTGACACCTCCCCACAACAAAATGGGTCACCCCAACCCCCAGCTATTAAATTGTGAACGGTCCCCTAAGCTGATCATTAGCTCCTAATATTCGCAATATAACGCAAATATACATGATAATACATAATAAAACGTAAAGGAACAACATTTTACATGGAATGATATTGTTGATTATCTTCAAATGAAACAGACATTACAAAAGTGCTGTCTGTATCACAGTAAAATAATTGTTGTTTTTTTCACTTGTATTAAATCTGTGCAATGGTAATGTGAAATACTTCCGCCCGTATCCCCCCTGAAATTTCATTCTTATCAAGTCATATGACCTGAATTTATATTCCACATCTGATAAGAATGAGTTTTAACATGTTTTTTTAATTGATACTTAACACCCTGAAAGAAATTTCCAACTGCTAAGAATGCCACTCAAAGCAAATTTTCCTCATCGTTAAAACTTTGGGGTGGTGGTGGGGGTATGTGGTTGTTATGGGCGGAAGTCTTACCGTACAATGTAGCATCAGTTGTTATTAGGTAATTAATAATTAATAATTGTCAGACCAAGCCTGATATTCGGCGTTCTTATTCACATTGAATGCACTCACCTGCTACGCCTCCTGTCTGTGTGCCGAAGTCAAACCGGGCCCGAATTTTCCCTCTATCAATGTCTTCCTTTGCTTTACTAGTTCTGTTAACTGCAGATATTCGTCCTTACTCCCAATTCGGTTTTCTTTTCTTTGCATCATTGGTCCCAGTTTCTGCCATTTTGTTCGCTGTGTTGTCGTCTGCGATACGATGACAGAAGGGAATCCCCGCTTGTCGTCACTTTTTTATTTTCTTGCATTAAGAGTTCCACTGGAAGTTTTCCGTTGCTGGTATTTTCCCTTCAGCAACGGTGCGCACGCATATCGGCTATGAACTTAAGTTTCTTAACCTCATACTAAGCTAAGTTTTTGACTAAGTCACTTTATGAATACGAACTAAGTTTCTGACTTAGCTAAGTCAATTTTTCAAAAATTAAGACAAAACGTTTTTAGTATACCGCCCCTGATCTGACAGTGTTGGGTCAACAGCCTCTTGCGAGTAAGTTGTTTGAACTTAAAAATTAAATTCATGATACTGTTTTGACATTTTTTAACACAAATTCCACCCATTTTAGCTGGAATGGGGAGTCAATTGACCTAGGCCTTCTGCAAATGACAATGCCTTGAAACACAGCGTTACCCCAATAGTGTAAGGATACATTCAAAGGTTTTAGTGAGATCGTATATTGCTGATTATATGGTCGGAAATTTATAGCATTGATCAATCAGAACTGGTGTTACATACTAAGTTGAATTAGAATGTATCACATTGATATACCTGAAGATCAATTTACATTGCCTGGTCCTATTCCCTAGGTTCGCTTTAGTAAGGTGGCTGATTAGGGCCATCGCTTCCTCGCCTTAAAATTCGGAGGCGACAAAGCGATATCACGAGACGAGAAAGCGATAGCACAAGACGAGAAAGCAGAAAGCGATAGAGCGAGAAAGCGATATTTCCCATAACCTTGCCCTGTCTACACATGACGTCTTGCCTGCGTATGATTTAATCAAACAGAAGGATTTATCGCCATTTGTTTTAGTCGTATAGAAACAAAATGAACATGCTTTGTTAAAAAGTCTGTAAAAAGGATAACAATCATTATTGTTACATCACTAATTAGGCCTGGATAAATTCCCGGCTTACATTTCTTTATTGTCATTTCCCTTGTTTAAATGACACCGCTGTTATGTCATCATTCATGCCTGGATTAACAATCCCTGGCTTCCATTTGTCCATCCACCCTACCAATTTAGCAATAATTAACAACTGGCTTCCCTTGTTATCTTATTACTGTTGTCTCAAATGTACGTATATAGCCTTTTGTTTCCTAGTTTCTTCATTCACCTGATGAAGGAATAAGAATATACTCCGTAACATCGTGTTCCACAAATACAGACGTTGACAACCATAAATTCCTGTAGGTATGTTACGAGTAATGTTTTTACTAAAGCTACATATATGCCTACTCCCCATGTTACCCATGAAGATCCGGGTTAGACTGGTCTTCAGCAACTCATGCTTGTCGTAAAAGATGACTAACGGGATCGGGTGGTCAGGCTCGCTGACTTGGTTGACACATGTCATCGTAACCCAGCTGCGTAGATCGATGTTCATGACGTTGATCACTGGGTTGTCTGTTCCAGACTCTATTATTTACAGACCGCCGCCATATAGCTGGTACAGTGCCGAGTGCGGTGCTAAACAATAAACCAAACCAACTCCCCATGTGATTTAACGTTGCCTAAATCCTATATTGTATTCTCTCTCGACGTCGGGCGTTATTGTATCAGTGATAGAACTTTATACACCCTGGGCCTTTGATCTGGTCTTTTTATGTGTGCATATTTCAAACATATATTTCTACTTCTATGTGAAAAAGGTATTGTTCTAAATGCATGTGCCATAGTCTCCCATACTTCTACACGAATGGCTTGTGTACATACGTAGATGTCTGTCTGTTCCCATATCCCAACTATCGACTTGTGACAGTGCCACAATTCATCGACCGACGTGATAGGTGTGTGTTTAACAAAAACGTAATATAATTATTACTTGGGGAATAAAGCACTATATAATAAAACACCTGTATAAGTTTAGTTTAGATAGGGAGTTGAGAAGTTGGACGTACGAGGGTTGGGAAGTTGACTGCGTATAAGTTAAACTAAGTAAGTAGTGCAAAGTATTTTGTGACTTATTGTGCAGAACAGTTAAAATGTTGCTGATAAGCTAATAAGGAGTCTACTAACTAGATGAAAAGGGGTTAAATGTTAAAAGTAGGGCTGGGGAGGCAGGGTACGGTGGTTATGTTTTGGTTTTGAAACGTGCTGTGTGTGACCTTGACATTGTGAGTTAGTCTGGGTAATCGAGCATACAGTGTAATGTGTGACTGGATAGAGATGTTTTAAAGGGTTTATTCTGAATTTAAGGGAGCCTATTTGTTTTGTGTTGTGCTATTTTGTTTTCAGACCCAGTCTGGTAGTATAGAGTAATTTGGTTTCTTCTAGTAACTGCCAGGTAGTAGGTACTAACTTTAGTCTTTGCACCTATGACTTTTTATATTTTATTTTATTTTATTTTTATTGTTTATTTGGAGGGGGGGGCTTTATATTGTTATATTGCAAGGAGTTTGGTTTATCATAATTGGTAGGGGATAGAGAAGGACGGGAGCGACTCACTCCAGTGTGAACATGACAAATGTTTTTGTAGATGTGTAGGAGGGTTTATTTGTCTGCATCCCAGTGAATGTCACATATTGCTCTCATTCGATTTGAATCGTTTTGACATGAGTTGACCAAATTATTTATAAGATAATACAGGTAGATGAATCCATATATTGAACGAGTTTCAACTCCTTCCCTGGAATGTTACGAAAGTTTTATTGGATACACGTGTCACCAATCAGCTTTTCAAAACCTGTGCGACGACGTCCAGCTGTAGCCTTTACTTTTCTTTCATTCTCAATCGACCACCAATAGTGGCATAAGAGTACATATCACACACATCAATTATTACATACAGTCAAAATGGCGGCGGAGTATAACAATATATTGTAGAAAATCAGTTGTTGGTATTACATGTCTATTATGTAACCTTTGTTAGAAGAAAACTTGGCGGAAAAGATGGATTTTGATAGATATTTTGATGGCAAAACGGGTTTGAAATTGGCAGACCAAACAACGCTTGCATTATAA